TTCAGCTTAATCCTTTCAGGCACAGTGAGAGGGCTCACCTCAGACAGTGATGTCTTGGGCCACAGCATGATTCAAATAATTCCTTGGCAACTGTGTCACTGGGCTACATGATTCCTGGGTGGGTACTTGGGAGTATAACATTTGGATTAGGCATCCAAACAGACGTTCCCCTGGGAAGGCAGATGTTCAGATCTTTTGAGGGTGAAACAGATCAGGACTCTCACCATTCATTAGGCGGCGGGCTGGTGCTCCTGGCTCTAGCTTTGCTGAGTCTTCATTCCTCTGGCCCAGCGGTGTCCAGACACCCCCCGGGGAGATGGCACCCCTGCAGACAAGGCCCTGCCTTCAGCTCATCTAGAGGAAATATGGGCTCACACATCTCTCTTTGCAGGCAAGCCAGTCTACAATTGTGCCAAACAGCAAATCCAAACGCAACTTGAGAATGGTGAAGACAAACTCACCCTCAGGCGCCTGTGTTGCCCTTACCAGCGCGACTTCAATCTGTAACTCTGAAACATGCTTCACTTCCTGTGACATTCACCGACCCAGTGATTCCTCCCTGCTGCATGAGTTTGGAACTGTTACTGGAGCCAGTTTCTGGGCTACTTGTCCAACCAGCAATGCTTTAATGTGTGGAGTATGCTGGTCACTGGGGGAATGGCTTCCGGAGCTGGAGTGCTAGGGATTTTTATTTTATTTTGAGACAGGGTCTCTTTATGTAGCTCAGGTTGACATTTAACTATGTAGTCCAAACTGGCCTCAAAGTTGTGGCAGTCCTCCTGCCTCAGCCTCTTCAATGCTGAGATGACAGGTGTACATCACCACGCAATGCCCGGTGATTTTCATTTTAAGAGTTAGTCTGAGTTTTCTTAAGGCTCAAATTGGGAGGGGAAAAATCCCAGGACTGAGGAACAAAGGACTGGAGGAGTCCCTCAACACAGCACCTTGGCTTAAGCAACTGCTGCCCAAATGGTCACATTAAGCTGGGCCTCGCTGTGTGCAGCAGCAGCAGGCAAGCACCAGTGCCTCTGCTGAGTGGACTGGCCGTGGCCAGGCCACTTCCTCTGTCTGGGGCCCCTCTCCTGCTGGCCGTGTCGATGGTGAAGGATCAGCACTCAGTGTGAGGAGAGGGGACACATGTCAGCCGTGGCAGGCTCTGCGAAGGCTCTGATCCAGTCTCTGTTCTCTCCAGCCTCGGCAACAGATGGGAATAAAACTCGCAGGCAGCCAGCGCCGGCCTCAGCCTCTGGTTGATGCTCATTTGTCAAAAATTTGGCAACATTACATTCACATTAGTGAACTCTCAACACAGCTCATTCACCGTGTGACACGAGGAGTTCACGGCAGCTGCGAGCAGCCTCGGCATCCAGAGGTTCACTCACATAAGGGAAGGGGACATGCTGTGTGCTGTACGACAGCTCTCACTTTGTTCCAAAGCCCTGTCTCCAGTTCTGGAAATGATGGATGCTTGGACACACGAATGCTTTTTTGTTCTGATTGGAGAATTCAGATTTTTTTTCCCTCCTCCTATGTACCATCTGATGTAGATTAAAAAAAATAACATCTATAAATACTGCTGCTGAGTTGAAAAAATGGCTAACACATACTTGACTGTTGAAGTAAAAAGATGTATTTTCCTCAAGAAAATAGAATCAGGTCCAGTGTATTAAATTCTGGAGGACACATGCAGGCATACACAAAAGGCTGACTGTTTCTGCTAATGATGCTTCTAGGAACAGTGAGTAGGGCCACTGTTCTCTTCAATGCCAGCCTCAGAAAGTTCACAATGTAAATATGCAACTCTAGCTACTCAGAAGGCTGAGGCAGGAGGATAACAAATTCAAGGCTGGTCTGGATAACTTAGTGAGACTGTCTCAAAAATTAAAAAAAAATCTGGGGAAGCTGGGTGTAGTGGTGCACTCCTTATAACGCCAGCATTCAGGAGGCTGAGGCAGGAGGATGGTTGCGAGTTCAAGGCCAGCCTGGGCTACAAAGTGAGCTCAAAGCCAGCCTGAACTGCATAGTAAGGCTCTGTCTCAAAAAGACTGAAAAAATAAAAAGAGAGAGAGAGAGAGAGAGAGAGAGATGGGATGTAGCTCAGTGGCAGAGCACTTGCTTAGGAAGGGCGAAGCTCTAGGTTTAATTCCTAGGAACACACACACACAGTTCAAAATGTACCCACAGTTGTTTCTTAGTAAGAGAGTGTACAATGCTCATCATGATTTTATGTTTGAAAGCTATATTCTCTTCCTGTACCTTTTCTCTGGAATTCCATCCCGTTTTATTCTAGACAGGGCCACTGTGCTAGCCACCTGTGCTGAAATCAGGCCTTTTGAATTCCAGAGGACTCAAAATTCGCATCTTGAAATCTCCCTCCCCGCCCCATCCTTCACCAGTCCCCACACAGGAGACCCCATCAGCTTCCAGCCACAGTCCTTCCATTCTTTTTTTTTTTTTTTTTTTGGTCTTTTTCCTTTTTATTGGTACTGGTGATCGAACTCATGACTGCCTGCTTGCAAGGCAGGCGCTTATGCCGCTGAGCTAAATCCCCAGCCCCTACAGCCCTTCCATTCTGCAGACCAAATCTCCTGGCCCCGACCTCCCGGGGCAGCCTGCCAGGTTATCAGACCCGTCAGACCCGAGGCGTGGGCCTCGCAGAGATGGGTCTGTTCTACGTGATCAGAAATATCAAGGAGTCGCTCTCTGCGTTGACGTGACACTGCACGATTAACTACCTGCCTCTGATCCTGGAGCCTGGAGCTGAACGTTGAACCACTCCTGCCGCAGTGCCCACATACATCGCCTCAGCCTTCTCACCAACTGCCCTGCTGTGTCCACTGTCTTTACGCATGTCTGGTTCTTTCTTCCCATGTAAAATGTGGGCAAGTGGAGGGGTCCAAGGAGGGTTTTGGAATCATAGACCCCCTACGTGCAAGCGATGGGACTGTGAGGAGGGCGACTGGGTCTCCCTGAGCCTGTTAGTGAAACGAGGAACTGAACCGAAGCATAAACAACACAGCGAGGAGCAGTGGTGCACACTTTAACCCCAGTGCTCTGGGAGGCTGAGGCAGGAAGATCGCTGTGAGTTTGAGCTCAACTTGGCTACATAAGTGAGTTCAAAGCCTGCCTGCACTATACAGTGACATCCTGTCTCGAAAAACAAAACAAAAACAAAAAGCAAAACAAAACAAACCCCAATCATAGTAAGCTGAATGGAGGACCATGACAGGAGGGCCATGAGTCCTGGCTGGAAGTGGGGCAGCTGAGATGACAGCAATCATTTGCTTGGGCAAGAGGACCCCTCCCTGGAAATGGGGTCTAGAAGCCAGGCCCCAGACTCCTGTTGGGTTCTCTGCCTTCAGCTTCATCTTTCTGCAGAGGAGACAGCTGATGAGACACGCAGTGCTTTGCCCGGAAGTCTCACACTTGCACACCACTGAGATTTTACCTACTTCCCTTCTATTGTGTTTACTTTTGGTGTCTTTTTCTCCCCCGCTGCAGCTCAACTTCAGCCAACTACCAGCGCTTATAATTATTCGTGTGCTCTAGAGCCAGCCGGGCTACGATAGGAAATGGAGGCATGAAAATGAAGACTCACTGAAGTTCAAACTCTAAGATTAGAAAATAGAAAAACCACCAAGATCCATTTTAGGGGAGCCACAGTGCCGGGGACAAGAGCAAACGCGATCCATGAAAGCCCTGCTGGGTGTGTGGACATGCCACTGCTGAACACCAGTGGATATGTGAAGGGAAACAGCCCATCCTCCACATCCAGGCAGGTGCACACCGAAAAGATGGAGGATGATTTTTGGAAGGGGCTTTTCCTGCCTGCTTCGACTTTACAGGACCAACGCCACCATGCTGTCTTCACCTTCAGAAGCAGCAGCAAACCTGTGAGGCCGTTTCCCAGCTCCATTTAGAGAAACCTCATGTGAAGGCAAGAGGGTCAATCTGATGTGGTCTTGAGTTTGTGAAGGAAAAAAACACAAACGACACGACTACCTGGTTTAGAAAATGTCCCGAAATGTGCACTTTATTCCACATCATTACACAATGTTTACATAGTCATAATTCTTAAGAAAACGGTTTGTTTTCCTCAACAATTGCATGTAGTGCCTGGATCTTTCACTTTAACATGGAGATTTGGGAAGAGTGGAAATCCGCGTGGAGTTCTACCCTACAGGGCTGCAATGGCTGTGAGTGTGCCTGTCAGAAAGGGCTTGACGTCTGAAAAGGGCAGCTCAGCTTTCCAACCCTTGGCTTTAGTGACTGCAGGAATCTGGGCTCCAAAGTCTCATCTCGTAGTAAAACCCAGGACAAAATTTACAAAATAAATTAGTGTCGGACAGTTGTACAATGTTGTACAATGTTGAACAAAAGACCACAGAGGGCCTCTTGTTTAAAGTAGCACCAATCTACACCTGATTGTGTCTCCGACGTCCTCCTCCTGTTGCCCCTACCATTGGCACTTAGAGTGGAAATCTTTTCTGCTTCAGCGAGGATTCCTACATGGATTAAGCAAACTGCGTGGGCTAAACTCTATAAAGTGTGGCAATGTCACCCTGGGAAATGGCACATTGAAACCATTAGCGCCCTGACAGAGGTTTGCTTTGTGTTCTTCCTGCCCCTGCTCTAGCGGATACTTTGTTCTGTGACAGTGGTAAAAGTAAATAAAAATGTATTTAAGGAGTTTCACCAAAAGCAGGTGTTAAACAACAAAAAACAAAACAAAACAATGCAACAAAATGAAAGAATGTGGCCGCAGCTAAGGAGATTTTCACATGTTGTTTAGCTCCAGTAAAGTCTGATCCAGCATCTGATGCATGCTAAGATTTTCTTCCTTGGCATGAGCCACTTTCTCTGTGGTGGGATTAGAAAATTAAGTCATGAATAGCTGCACTTCGGACACGGAGGTGCTTTGTACATTCAGACAGGAAAACATCAATCACAAATGCAGGAGGAGATGATTAGAACTACGCATGCTTTTAAGGCGTTACTCATTTCCGGACAGAGATCTCCAAAGGGAAGGGGTCTTTGGCCCCCAAGGGGCCACAGGCACAACAGGCTCTCAGCACAGTTGGGGCACCATCACCAGCAACCCACCCTGAGGATCGAACTCAAATGCAGGGTGGCGCTGGGGACGGGTCGCCAGCTGTGGGTTGCGGGGATAGGGGTAGGTAAAACCCAAAGGGCTTGCAGGACTGTTCTACAAACTGGAGCAGTTAATAGGGCACCAGCAGACACTGGAGTTACAGACAGGTAAAGGTCTAGGAACTGCGCTGTATCGCAACCTCGCAGGAAGCAGCGATGACATAAAGGTTCCTGGTGACTTTTTTGAATGACTTATTTCTGTTGCTCACGAACAGTTATCGACATGTTTCATGCACATTGCATTAGGACATTCTCTTAATGTTTTTTAAATGATTCTATTATTAGCACAACATTCTCACCAGGTTGCAACAACACTGAAACTGTATAAAGCCTACCTTTCCGACAACCAGGGACTTCTGACATGAGGTCCTGTTTGCAAAAGCTTTTTGCCCAAGCATAAGTACATTTAATTATATTTCAAACACTACACCAGATGGGAGGGAGTTAGGGGTACATGGAATAGATCATATATATATTTAAAGTAATACTCAGTCTTCTGTGAGGAATTTTTTTCCTTCTCATTCTGCATCAGTTCAAAGAAGAATGTTGAGTTGGCTGTTATAAATATTTATCCATATATACAATATGCATGTTTTACCGTAAAAGATGTTTGGGATTAAAGAGAACTTAATCATTCCAGATATATATAGAGAGAAATACAGGCAAGGGCTGCTTGCAGCTAACTCCTTTCCTTTACATTTTTGCAGAAAGCAAATGGTTTTCAACCCTTGGAGTTGAAGGTTGGGCAGTCTTAAGACTGCAATGGGCTCCGTTCCTAGAGTTCAGCCCTAGCATTTTCTCATGTAAGTTTTAATCCTCATTCAGGGCCAGCTTTAGTTCATTAGTTAGGCGTCGGTTTTGCTCAAGTTGCTGGTAGAGTTGATCTGTACCGGTCAGCAAGCGCGTTAGCAGAAGAGAGGAGGCAGAAGGAAGAGAGGTTAGCCAGACGTGGGAGAGGCAGCTGACAGAGAACAGAGCAGAGGTCCACCCCGCGCAGGACAGCGACCGGCCGCGTGTCACAGACCTTCACTTCACAGCCATCTGTCCCCCACGGTCAAAGGCCCAGCAGAGTAAGGAAGCACCAGAATTGTGTTCTCGATGCAAAGGGAAAGGGAGGAAGAAGACAGGAGGAGACAGAGTGAATGTTCCTCTTGTGCCTCACCGAAAGCTGCCTCGGGAGTTAAGTCCTTTGTGCATGTGGCTGGGGGCAACAGATCCAGTAACTGTGGCTTGGCTGGTGGCGAGCCCACAGGTCACCGTCCTATCTGGGGTTCAGCTAGACACGACCTTCACCTGCCCACTTCTGCCCACTTGCCCACAAACCCATCCTCTCTGCTTCCAGGGCAGGCTTCCCACTCACGTACCGACTGGGTGCTACTGCTCAGCAGCACTGACGTTTTCAAAACACACAGCTAAGTTCCCTGCCCCCACAATCACCAGCATTCAGGGTACGAATTCTGGGTTCTCATCCAACACTGCCAGTGTTAGCTGATCCAAACAGCAAAAGGGCAAGCACCAATTTTCACCCACACTCTTTGAGACACTACCTGTTTAGTTAAAGGGGATGGCATTGATGTTTGGTGCCAGGGGATGTGCCTGCAATGAACAAAACCTCAAAAACGTGTAGCAAGACCACCAGCATGCTAGAAACTCAGCAGTCTGACATGCAACTCGCTCAAGCAGCAAGAAAGCCAAGCCCAGGACTCAGTCTATATGCAAAGACTCAGAAGACGTCTAACAACAAACAAGAGACTGATACCTACCAAGGCTGGCTGGGGGTTTCAGTGACTCTTGGAATGGCAGTGCCTGCTTGACCTGTAATCTTCAAGATCCTGGCAAACTAAAAATCCTAACGCTTTGGAAAAAAACATGCAACTGGCAGCCCCCAGGCCTGGTGGAACACTGCGACCTCTCTTCTCTTACATGGTAGCAGACAGAGGTGTTTTATGTTCATTACGTTTATTACCTCACTGTGCTGCGCTGGGCTATCTGCTGCCTTTCCTTTCCTCCTTGATCTTTTGCATTTCCTGAACCCAGCAGCACCTCGATTCACGAACTTAATTCTTTCCACGATTCTGGTCACAGAATTTGCTCCAGGTATTAATGTGTAATTGCCACATCCTCAGAATGGCTCCGGGTCCCAATTATTTCTTGCTCCTTATTGGCTCAAACTGCACAATGGTTTTTTTTTTTTTTTTTTTTTTTTAATTGGTACCAGAGATGGAACTCACGACCATGTGCTTGCAAGGCAGGTGCTTATACCAGTGAGGTAAATCCCTGGCCCAAACTGCACAATATTTGGCAGTTCAAAAGCACTTCACTCATCGCTTTCCAGCTCTAGGTATGTGTGTGTAAGCCTTCTGGTATAGCTATGCCCTTGCCACCTAGTATCTTTCATGCTGCCCATGTTTGGGGGTTACAAAGTGTGAACCTTGGTACTCCATTTATATTACTGCCACAGGAAAAAGCCACCAACGGTAGGTGAGATGTCTCCAAATGTCCTCTCCAGCAGGAAGGGATGAGCTCTGGAGAAACCCTAGAGAATCTGAGGGCCAGTGTTCATTAAGCTTACCCGTGAAACTGGTCCCTGGCCGTAGCTCAGCTGTCTCTGGGCCTGCTCTCCATCAGTGGCTGTGCCTATGTGTTCCTGTGAATGCTTGGAAGCATTTCCCTCTTGTTCTACACAGAATCCCACATGGCCGAGGCCTCTGGGGCCCAGTGTCAGCCATGTTTTTGGTTTGGTCCAGCTGAGCCTCTAGCTCAGTGGAATCCATGGACTGGGCCTCTGGACTAGAAGCCTGAACAACTCTGACAAACTCACCTTGCTCATTCTCCTCAGGTTACTCATGACCTGCCATGTGGATCCACTCCTTCCCCCTGCCCGTGTGTAGTCTCTGGATGGAGTCCAGAGAGGGCTGCACCTCAGACTCAGCCGAGCATCTGCTCAGCAGACCTTTCAGTGCTGTCACTGTCTGGGGCAGGATTACTCAGAGAAGGGGCACTTCCCTTGCTCTTCAATTTAAAAAGAAACAAGGCAGGGATCGTGGTCAAAAGCAGGCCAAAGGGCCCTTATGAGAAGAAAACGGCAAACTTACAGAAGGCTTCACACACTCAAGGGGGAGACACTATCCAAGTTCTAAATTTTAAAAAGTCTAATTTAACTCATAGCCTTCTTTTAAAAAAGTATTTTGTCTGTGCTCTAAAGACTTCATAGACCACTGACACTACATGCAGAGCTCACCCAAACTGAGGACAGAGGTGGATCAGCCCTCCTGGGTGGACCCGCACCACATAGAAGGCAGACGGGGAGTCCCACACTGAACACAGAAGAAACAGAGCCAGACCGGTTGGGAAGGACAGATGTTGGGGATGTGGAAGTTCTAACTAGTTATGCCATTAAAAAAAAATCATTTGCTGTTGTGAAGTACAATAGTGAAGGTCAAATAAACCAACTGGACTCTTAATTTCCACCAAGATTACTAGTAATGGTCGGAAGAATCAACGGTAACGGCTACAGTTTTTAAATGCTTGCAAATAAGAGAGCCCACCTTTCAAAAACAAAGGTTATACAGGCACCATCCTTCCTCAAGAACACACGGTATCCTTGGGGGCACAGAAGTAAACTGTGACCTGAACAGAGCCATTCTATCTAGAAAATGTAAGGGGTCATTTTCATGATTAAAATGTAGGTGCCTAACTCAAGAATATACTTAAAAAGCCAAAAAACAGCTGGAATTCAGCTTTGTGCTATAAAAGGATGACTAACAACCACAAGTTACACTATTTAAGTGCGAACTCTTTTCTATCTTTTTTTCCCACTATACAAAGTCCCAGCCCTTCGGGACAGCTGTGTGGCCCCTCATGAGCCACACTGTAACCTCTGGCAAAAGGAGACACTGCTCGGCCACCCTGATTCCCAGCGGGCCCTGGGCCCTGGACCCACGGGCGCATCACGATTTCTAAAAACCAGAGATGCCAGCCTGGGTCTCACTATAGCTTCTGGAAACCAGAACTCTCAGAGGGACACAGGCACGGGCATTATTTTTAAGAGTTCTGGAAGTAACTACTGCATTTGAAACCTTGAAATTAATGTATGATGCCAAGAATGAGGAAAAAACAAAAAAAGGGAAGAAAGAAAAAGAAAAGCAGCAGCCAAAATGAACCCTTATATGCATGAAGCAGAATTATGGTTTTATTCAGTGATGAAATGAAAATGTCAATAAATAAAGAGGTAAAAAGAAGAGCAAACAGAAACAACTTATGCAGTGTTTATTTTACACTGGAACCAACTATACAACAGAAAGCAGTGTGCCTGGCCCCAGGCAGGTGCTAAAGGAAAGAACTGGGGCCGGCTGGAGGAGACAACGCAGAGCTCAGAGAGGTGGGACATCCGGCTTGCTGAAGGAGTCTTGGGAGAAGTAAAGCAAAGAAACTTATCTGTGTGAAGACAAAAGGGTGGAGAGAAAGGAAACACCAAGTGGCACAATGGAAAAAGGGAAAAGCAAATTAACACATGAAAGCGGCACACGCCATCCAGGCAAGCAGCAGACATGCAAAGCCCAGGGCAGCTGCACCCCGGGCAGACACCGCCACCAGTGTCTGTGCCCGGGGGCTGTCATGGGCCAACTTCCGGGAAGACTCATAAGCAGAACTGAAGAATAAATGTTCAGCTGAACCTCACTTTGAAGATGTTGAAAGTCTGCCATCCCATTTTAGGACTGGGAGGACTGCAGAGACAGATGCTGAGGCTCACCCCTCATTTACAGATGAGGGGGAGGTATTTGCTCTCTAGTTTAGTTTGCAGGGTGACAGTACTCTCGCTAAGGGTTCTGTCCTTTGAGGGAAGGGATTCTAGACCCTCCAGGGCAGCAGGCACAGTGCCACAGTCTGGAAGCCACCATCTTTCTACATGGGTAAAAGGCAGAAAGGGGAGGGTTCCAGCTTTTTTAAGGAATCCACTATGGCATCTGAACAGAGCTGCCTGTGCAACACTCCAGGTTAGAATAAAAGAGGCCGACAGATTAACGCTTGCGTTGGGTCAGTAACACGGACACCAGCTGTGTGTGAGCACCAGCCACCTCATGAGAACAAGAGGACCTGCTGTTGCTGTTCCTGCCTCTGAGAGGGGTCCAGATTCAGACGGTGTAAGCTGTATTTCATGGCCCAAAATGTTTCCTGCAAGTACTGTGATTCTTTGTGATATAAACAGTTACTGGCTGGGTTACTCGGCACAGTACTCCTTCGCCTGCGGAATTCTGGCAAGTGAGGGAGAGATCACAGTTTATGGACCTGTTCTCTAGGCTACACTGAGTCGGGCTGACTTCCTCAGATTCTCCGTCATCTGACACTTCGGGATTTCCTGGCGCTTACCTTTCTTCTATAAAATGATCATATTGCACTTCAGAGCTCAGGAAACCAATTTTGATATCTGAGAAGTTCCTGCACCACTGCGCAGCATTCTAGTTTTACTGGCATCTAGTTTAATGTCTTAAAAGTAGAGAGCTCACACTCACTCATACTCCTTTGGTCAGTGGGAACCATCTATTTTGCCATTTAGGAAACACTAAAGGATTTGGAAGGGAAAGTGGTTTGTCCAGACTTAGTCTACCTTGGCCTTTATATTAGTACAATGTGAAAAAAGCAACAACTAGCCTAGGTAATGCAAGAAAGCACACAGAAAGGCATCAGGAGGAGGTGGCGGAGAGGGAGGGGTGGTGGCAAGTTTATCACAGAAGCAGGGGCGCGCAGGAGCGGGCAGGCAGGGTGCATGGACATTTACATGGAAGTCATATCGTTGAGAGCGTGGTCCAGCTCTTCGCTGATGGCCTTGTACTTCAGTTTCTGAGCATACAGCTCGTCTAGGACCAGCAAGTGGAAGGCAGAGGTGCAAGGACATGGAGAGTGACCAAGAGATGGAGGGTGAGCCGACGGCCCAGGGGCCATCCCGACCCAGCAGCAAAGAAAGGGCAATGCATGGAGGGGTTGGTGCCGCGGCAGGTGGCCCGTGCAGGAGGCGTGCGTTTTGTTTTTAAACGAATCGAAACAAAAACAAAGAGAACAAAACCCATTAGAAAATAAAATGAGAAAGACTCAATATGAAAATCACAGCAAATACAGTAGGTCTATCAGTAAACCACATTAAGTCCTAAATGAAATCCCACAGGGCTCTTTCCTGGTCTGTAACCTAAACAGAACCCCAGAGGGCTGTCTTTCCTGGTCTGTAATGGAACATCTTTCTTTTTACAGAGCTATTTTCATTATGCCAGAGCAGCCAGCTACCTGCAGCTATAAAGAATGAAAAAACACCTGATGGCGGTGGTGTTATAGAAGGGTGATTTGTGGTTACAGCCCGTCCATTATCCTGATAGAGTTCCCTTCAAACCACCGACTTCCTGACCAAACCATACTGAGATGCTCAATTTTTTTAGTGTCATTTAAAGGACACCTGTGGTCTTCCCACACAGGTTGCACGTTCCTGGGCCAGACGGCTTGAAAAGCAAAAAGCCCTATCTTTCATGGTGCTGGTGGCAAAGTCTGCAATGTACTATTTCTACTCTGCTGCCCACGGGCGGACTGTTTTGAACCCTGTCACCATTCTGTCTTCTTTGCTATCTCAGTGATTACCATACAACCTCCAGTCCCTTCTCTTCTGCCTGCAATACCTATTTTTTCTTTGCCCCAGCTAACACTCCACAAGCCTCAAAGCTCACAATTTAGCATTTCTATGAGGAAGAGTGGCAAATAAAACCAAATGCTTCAGGGGAGAAATTCGTGACCATGATCTCAAAATATAATGTCCTATTGCTTCTCATCCTCCGCCCTTTCTGGATATACACCGATATTAAGGGAGGATTTAGAAAACCTCAGGCACTTCCATTGAATTCAGCCCCACAAGAAGACAGGTGGAGTCTAAAACAAATCCACATCATTCTGACAATTAGAGGGTTCTGCTGAGGACACAAATACGCCCCAGTCATTCTTGCCTGTTAGCAAGCACCTGGCTCGAAGCATGAAACTACCCTGCCACCATGCTGAGGACCATAAAGGAAGGCAGCGTGGCATTTGGCCTTACAGATGTCCTGGGCAGGGAACCAGTGATCGACATCAGGGACTGAGGCCTCCAGGTCCGAGAGCTTAAGAGGCACAGGTGAAAACCCCAGAGGACAGTAGGGAAGAGAGTGCGAGAGAGCAGATGTGTGCCAAGGGAATGATTCTGGATTGAATGATGGTGATCGCTATTCAATTCTCAGGATGGAACTGAAAACAATTATTGAAGCTCTTACCTTCTAAGTCATCAATGCTTTTCTCCAATTTAGTTACTGACCTCTCTGCAAACTCAGCCCGAGTCTCAGCCTGCAAGGATTTAATTTACTTGAGTCAAAGCTGGGAAGTTTCACAGTTTTAGTCGCTATTAACAGGGGGAAAGCTAGAGAATGAAACCCAAGTGGCGACTGAGACGAGGAGTCAGTTTGCCGCTGTCGTCAGCAACGGTAGCGAACGCAGCCTGTTTGCTCCCACATTATTTCCAAATATCCCTGCTTTGGTTTGCTACTGACTTTAAAATGATAAAGCTCTGACTGACCTGTTCCAGGACATGAGTTTAATTAAAGTGCAATTTGCTTCATCTCAAATGCTTGTAAGATTACCTCCTTCAGCTTGTCAGAGAGGACCTTGATCTCCTCCTCGTATTTGTCTTCCTTCTGTGAGTACTGTAATTAGAAAGAGCATTCCAGTGGTCAGGCTGTGGCCTGCCATCCCAAGACCTCTAATTCTAACACAGAAGCACGTGCCAGCTCAATCGACAGATGTTAAACCTCTCCTAAGAGGTAACAGAGCCTCTGGTATCGAGTGGCAATGACCACGCATTCTCTGCTTTCCTGCCTATTGTTTTACATGGGATAAGCACGAGGTAACTTATCCACCTGGCAAGGGGCTGAGATTAAATTGGTGACTTATGGACCCAACATAACACACATTCTTGATTTAAAACATTTAAAAACCCATTCTTGGCCACCATCAGAACGGCATCTCCAAACGCTGCCCTGTACTAAGACGCCCACTGTCTGCTGTTTTCTCTTCCGAGCAGGCCTCGGAAGGTGACGTCCCCATGCCGTGCTCCAGGCCTACCTTCTCAGCCTGAGCCTCCAGGGACTTCAGGTTGTTCGTCACAGTTTTCAACTCTTCTTCAAGCTCGGCACATTTGCTAATGTTTTCGATCAGAGGCAGAAAGGGTGGGAGACAAGGCAGAGGAAGGAGGAGAGAAAAAAGGAGAAGGATGGGAAAAAGTGAGAACCAAGTCCTGGAGATGAAGGGGCCGCCTTCAAGTAGCCAAACCATCAGTTCTGGACGTGTCAGTTTTACCATGGACGCTGCCTCTGGCTGGCTCGCCATGGTGAGAAGGCAGGTGACAGACACTGAAAAAGGCTGAAGAGTGATGATTTGGCTTCTTACTTGGCAGCCCCCGAGAGCATTTACGAAGGGAAAACGAAGGAGCATACAGGACCAAGAGAAAGCACTTAAAGCAAGATATAGACAGCAGAAGGTGTGGCGAAGGTACAGTCGTTACACTGAACCAACCAGGAGGCATTGGAAGCTGAGAGACGTCTGGGTTGCGGTTAAACCTAAACCACACGTGAGCCATCAGTACCTTATCCTCTGCAGCCATTAATGCTTTCAAGGTCTGATCCATTATTCTTAATTGTTCTTCCAGCTGTCGAACTTGGCTGTTAGTGGACACAGGAAATGCACAAGGCCATTCACAAAATCAGTGTGCAGGTAAGGCATGCAGTGATACACGCATTCACGCACAGACACCCCACTCGAGCCTCCAGATTCCACACTCGAGGCTCATCCGCGACGAATGAGTGTGGAGGAGCCCAGAGCGGGGCAGGTCAAGGTACAGCCGCAGATGGTCATGCTGTTTAGTCACTGCACTGCAGTGCCCTGCACGCGGCCTTGGTCGCCGGCCCGCTTACCCTTCTGAGAGCTCAGCCCTTTCCTCTGCACGTTCCAGGTCACTCTCAATGATGACCAGCTTACGGGCCACCTGCAGGGGGAGAAAGGAGGACACACACCCCGTGGGGCTCATGTGCTGTGGGGCTCCAGGAGAGGGGATCAGGCGCCACCAGCCCCTCACGATCTCCAGCTACAAAGGGACATGGACACTTCCCCCAAAGGGCAGCTGGAGGAGGCCAGAGGCTTTGCTCATGGGACCCAGCATGGACAGCCACGGTGCAGGGTCTCAAAGCCTGAGCCCGACACAGTGTGGAAAACTATACAGCAGCCAGAGAACAGGGAGGAAGGGACAGGACACCTATGTTCTCAAAAATAGTAGGATGAGACAAGGGGAAGGCCAGCTTAGACTGAAGTTTAGACTGAAGAGCTGGGAACTGCCAAAAAAACCCCACTGAAAACCTAGGAACCGCTGCACACCAGCACCCTTCTCTTGGAGGTGGTAAAGGAGGAAAGCGAAGCTGCCCTGTGAACAGGTGGGGAAAGGGCTGATGTCAAGCATGGGTCCAGGGGAAGAAAGAACCTGAGAGAAGACGGGGTGCTTAGGAGCCGACCAAAGTTAGTGGGAACAATATAATCTGCAGATGGTGGGCCAGGGATTTAGCTTGGCAAAGTGTGTGGTCGTGAGCTCAATCCCCAGCACCACAAAAAAAAAAAAAAAAAAAAAAAACGTATTTCAAAAAGAAAAAACAATAATCGGCAGATGGTAAAATGAGGGGTAGGGGAGGCCTGACATGACCCGAAAACTAGAACTTCAGGAGTCATGTTAGATCTGCTGCCCCCGGTGGTTTTCTTTTTGCTGGCACTGCAGTCCAGTGGCGCCCTGCCTCTGAGCTACATCTCCGATCCCTTTTTAAATCTGGAAGTAAGTCTTGCTGAGTTGCCCAAGCTGGCCTTGAACTGGCAATCCCCCCGCCCGCCTCGGCCTCCCAAGTAGCCAGGATTCTGAGCTTGCGCCACCATGTCTAGCAGTTCTCAGGTGAGCAGGAGCAGGCACTGGCCCACCTCAGCACTGTGCTGACCGTGGATTTCTGCCACCCCAGAGGGGAGGCCTCCATGACTGCCCAGCAGCTCTGGCCCCTACACTGGACTGCCTGGTGAAGGGCACTGGGAAGAACCACCTGCACCATGAGAGCATGAACCTCCTTTCTCAAGGGCCCCACGCACTGCTTCCCGCTGGTCTTTTGGGTGTGGGTGGGTGGGGTAGGGTTGCTCCTTTTCCCCAGTGCTGCTGACTGGCTTTGTGGTAAAGCTTGGATCTCAAGCAGGAGCCCAGCAGGATCAAATTGAGAACCATGATCTGGAGACAAAGGGATCTGGTTTCTCAAAACCACTCATTTCTACCAAGGAAGCAGACCACTTCGCTCAGGAATTGAGGCTGGACACTGCTCTCCAAGGCCGCTGCGGGGGCCCCCAGGATCTGACCTCTTCATACTTGCGGTCGGCATCTTCAGCGATGTGCTTGGCCTCTTTCAGTTGGATCTCCTGAATTTCCATCTTTTCTTCATCCTTCTGGGCTCGGCTTTCAATGACTTTCATGCCTCTGGAAAAGAAAGACAGGCAGAAAACCAAGAGTCAGAGGTGACCACCCGGAACGCCTGCCGTGCTGCTGCGGTCTGCAGGGCTCACAGCTCACGGTAGACCAGAAGAGCACAGAAGCACTTTTATTTCCCAAACGATGAAGCAAGACTTTCCAGAGCCGAAGGCAGAAATAAGACACACATTCCTCTCTGTTCATTATGAATGAAACCTCACACTCTGGGTTCTGCTGAAACTGTCCAGGCACCTAATGTTAAACAAAGGCTACAATGTCAGGGTCCTGTGTGAACCTGGAAGGCTTGGAGATGCGGAAGGCCAGCGCGCTTCATTTGTTCACATGATGGAATGTGGGGATCGAATCTAAAACAAAAGCAAATTTATCTTTAGGTGCCTCTTTCTCTGAAGAAGGTTCTTTCCCCACTGACTACCAGGAAAAAATACGAGGCTAACTCACAGGGAACTGCTGCTACTGACCGCTTCAGACCTGGACAAACGGGTGCATGGATTCAACAGAACTCGTCAGCTTAGAAACCGAGTGTTGCCTATAATCAAATCCTCTCTCAGTAGGGGTGTTGGGAGGCAGGAACAACCGGGTCTTTACACTCAAGTGCACACCGGACCCCATGGCACAAAGCTACATCTCCTAAATCGACCTCATCTGGGACGTGTGACAGATTTATGGAATAATAAGTCACCTTAAAATGAAATCGTGATTCCTCTTCAACCAAATTCAACCAGGCAATAAGAAACAAATTACTAGGCTTTTTTTTTTTTTGGTCTTTTTGAGGCAGGGTTTTGCTATGCAGTTTGAGCTGGCTTTGAATTCACTTTGTGGCCCAGCCTGGCCTTTAACTTGTGGCCATCCTCCTGCCTCAGCCTCCCAAGAAACCACTAGTTTTTGATAAAGAATTTATTTAAGTAGACCTGAGTCCTAGTCTTGGCCCAACCACAAACATACTGTCAGTTCTGGGGCAAGAGATGTCAGTCTCTGAGCTCTGGTTTTCTCATTTGTGAAACCAAGGAATCAGAGCAATTGATTTCTGTCTTATGATCTACACTTGTAAGACTGCCTTTAAGGTTCACATCATAGAAACATTTCAGGAAGAGGTCTGTTACAGTGATACAGTTATGCACGTGCTTTAGTGATGACTGGTCATTTTAAAGAAGCCCAACACACTTGCTGAGTGAAGAAAGGCTAAGCAGCAAAATAAGGCCAAAACGCTACTTAAAAAGCTTCTTTAACTCCAACGTTTGAGATCACTCTTTGTATGTGATCACTCTTTGTATGCAGGAGCAGAAGCTCCCTCTGAAGATGGAGAAATGGACAGGATGACCCACTGCATTTGCCTGCCCAGGTCATAGGACAGGCAGATCCAGAAGGCCATTCCTGCAGCCTCTCATCTCCTGGAGCCTTTCTAGATGCTTCTAATGTATTGCAGAATACAGCAGCTTCAAGAGCTGAACACAGAAGACAAAGCCTTCTGGAAGACAATGCCTTCTACAACTCACGAGGTGAGCTTCCAGACTATATCAACTGTGGTTTCCCTTTACTACCACAAAGCCGTGTCTTGGGTGAGAAGTCTGGCGGAGCCAGGTCTCAGTGCAGACACACAAGCACCTGGCTGTACTGCTGTGTGTGTGTGTCCTATCGGTACTAAGCTCTAGCCCAAACAATTTACTCTGCAGAACTTAATTTCTGCTTTATCTAACCTAAATGACACCCACATTCCTAGGCCTAAGATTCCTTGGCTTATTATTATTATTATTATTAGAAGCACAACTGCTCTTTGCTCAGCAGTAATGAATCATCGAGTAGGCCTGGAACTTTTTTTGTGTCTGTGCCTATCTCTTGTTGGTGTCGAGCTCTGTTAGGGCCGGGAACTTTCCTTCTGCATTAATTCTGGAGCTCAGCACAGTGTACTGCACGCAGCAGGTGTGCCACTATCAAACAGGCAGCGCTAACCAAACCACACACGGATCAGCGCAGTTGATGACTCCGGTGAGGACCGTGACATTCCCACACCTCCGTTCACTGCACCAGGAGGGGAGGCTTGCTGCAAAGACTGGACAGGGTGGCCTCACCTCTCGCTCTCATCTGCTGCCTTCTCGGCCTCCTCCAGCTTCTGCAGAGCTGTGGCCAGACGCTCCTGAGCACGATCCAGCTCCTCCTCAACCAGCTGGATGCGTCTGTTCAGAGAAGCTACATCAGCTTCAGCCTGGGCATCGAGAGAGAGGCATCTCAGTGACGGGGAGATAGCGACGTGGGCATCTTCGGACACCAAAGTCAGGGCCTTGTGGGGGTAGCACTACACCCAGAGCTGGGAATCGGGAGCTGTCATTCAACTCCTTCCCTGAGCTACTCTGTCACTTAAGAAGGAATTGAATCCTTAAACAGGCAGTAGTTTTAAAATACATACCATATGGAGACTAGCCACAACCTCAGACCCCACCCCAACCCCTGGGTCTGCCTGTTCGGTAACCTCTGTGGAATAACTGGTCACACAGGAACAAGCCCAGGACAAATTTCCCAAGGGTGCTTCATTTAAGTCTACTGAAGTTTCTTAGAAGTCAAGAAACACCTAAGCAGAAAAGCTATACTGACACTGGTTAGATAAAACGTTTTTTTCTTGGAAATACAATACTTCCTGTACTGTATGCTTATACACCACTTGATGTGTGCTTCTCAAGGGGAGATGGGTTTTCAGGACATTTGGGGGCTTTTAAAGCATCACAGTACACACTTGGAGACTCTGATAGTTCTCCACAAACATCTCTTGTTTTTTTTTTTTGTATGTTTTGTCTTCTTTAGACAGGGCCTCAGTACACAGTTCAGGCTGGCTTTGAACGCACTTAGTAGCCCAAGCTGGTGTCAAATTCAACGACCCTCCTGCCTCAGCCTCCTGAGTGCTGGGATTATAGGTGTGTACCCCACCATACCCCACTAAGACACCTCTGCCTTCTTTACTGAACTCTATACTGCTGGCATCCAGAAAATCAGTTTTCTTTAGAGTATGGGTCCAATAAATGCTTACTCAACCAACTAAGTAAAAGTAACCTAATTTAAACAGAAATAGTTTTCCTAGTTCAAGCCACAGAATACAATGCACTTACAGTCAGAGAGAGGTTGTAGTCATGGCCTCGAATTAAAGGACAACATTTCATTCTCTGCTCACCTGGACTGGTAAGACTTTAAATGTCAGAGTCTATTCTGGGAAGAGAGGTGAATGGGGCATCTTCAACTACAGTGAAAGACACAAAACCACTTAAAACAGCCCCACAAGTCAGTTGTTGCCACCACACGGGAACTGACTGGGATGCACTGGAATGCCTGACAGGTGACTGCTGATTTGGAGTTGCTTTTCTGAAGGGTGAGGGTCCTAGGGACAGCCAATTTCTTACATGCAGGAAACTGCCTTTTAAAAATCTGAAGCCTTACTAAAAAGAAAAAACCAGAAAGATTAATACATTAAAGGAATACTCTGGCTCAGGTGAGAGACTGACACTTTTCTGTATCTATTTCTGGTTAAATTCTACTTTTTATGAATGAAGAGATCGAGCAGGGCAGGGGCTAAGCAAGCCATCCTGAAAGTGGGGAGAGAAATGAGGAGCAAATGACCCTCTGAAGAGTGCCTCGCCACATGTTCAGAAGCACTTTCCCCGATTATTAATATCTAAAACATAGTAAGTGCAGTGGGCTGTCAGATAAATGGTGACAAAATTCCTGAAACACTTTTGTGTTCAACTGTTTACGTTTCTTGTCCCGTTTTAGGTATATCTGGGCCCAAACCTCAAGGACTTTGTACTCACAGGCAGAAGGCTGTTTACACTCTGGGGAACAAACTTCTGGGCAACAGCTCTGACCACTACAGAAGGCAGATGGCCCACTAAGTTCATTCCCGCCTCTGCCCACCCCAATCAGTCCTCCTGAGCCTCTCCCCTCCCCCTTAGTTCTTGGCACTGATCTGCCCAATGCTGTGTGGCACATGACCCTTGTCTTCTCTCAGGAGCCATCTGCGGAACCCTGGGCTCCCTGATGCTACAGGTTACTGCCCTGGAAAGTGCCAGCCTGTGGACGCTCCAATAGGGTGCCTGCAGGATGAAGGGAAACCTAGATGGGGGGGCCAAGATCCAGCCTGGCATGAAGAAAGGAGCCTGTTTGGTGGCTGCCGTTCCCAGGGAGCCACCGGAAGTCTGCAAAAGGGCTTTGGGGTTTGTTTTTTAACTGAAGGAGTCCCTGGCTGGGTGTCAGAATCAACTGGGCAATATGGATTAAAAATACAAGCTTCCGGGCCCTGTCCCTAGAGACTCTGATTCATGAGGCAGGACACAGATCTGTGCTATAAACAAGCAGCCCTCTTTCTCTCTTCCCGGAGGCTGCCAGTCCTAAGGGGTGGCCAGTCCAGGTCTCCTGGAGAAGCAAGTGGAGATGGGGGTTCAGACCCAGTGCTGGGTCTGCCTCTCGGCTCCCTGCTGTGGGGAATCCTGGCACTCTCCTCCAATATCCTGGAACATTAGGGAAGCCCCAGGATTGGTGGCTGTCACAATAGTGTCTCTCATGTCTGACACTGGAGGAGTTCTGTGCCACTGCTCCCCACTGCACCCCAAGAAGAGCCTGTATAGAGCCCCCGAGCAGAAGGAAGTTCTGGAGAGATCACTAAACATGCCTTTCACCTCCAGACTGAGATAAGGCAGGGCAAAAAATGAAAAGCAAACACTAAGGGGGAATGGCTCGCTCACTTAAAGACATGGGGTGATGCTCTCTGGTCTGGGACCCAACGTGGACCGCCCAGGCTCAGAGCAGGACAGGAGCCTGAAGCACCTCCGCTGTGCAGGTCCCCAAGCTCCCCTGGGAGGGGAGAGTCCCAGCTCTGCTGGCTCCCTAGGCCCTGTCAGACTGGTCTAACAGACATACATTCTCTTCAGTTCCTTTAGGTTCAAGTTTAACTTCTTCATTAAATCTAGTCATGTTCTTTTTATTTTAACTTCTTCTCCAATTTAGTATGCGCTGTTCCTAGGGCCCCTTGCCTGGCTTTACTTCTGGGTGTTGCTTCTCACCTTGGAGGCCTCTCTGAGGTGTTCTCTAAGGCTCTTTTCAGCACACCACCAAGGGAGGAGTCAGAAGGACACGCTGTTGCCCCTGTCACTCCAAACCTACTGCCATATGGCCATCCATGACTTAAAAGCAGATACAGATAACAAGGCATCTGCCTCTGGAGGGCCAAGACTCAAGCAAAAATGATTTCTAGGAATGTGGGTCACTCTTTCTACCGAGGGCCAGCCCATGTTATCAGTACTGCCCACGAAAGAAGTCTTTCAGTTTGGGATGCTAGTTTCTCACATTTCAGAAGCACTACTGTGTCCCAAAGCAGAATGTGCTACTTCAAGACTGTTGCCCTGGCAAGGCTACTTACAGATGTCTTTGTGTACACGCACAGGTGAAGCTCCAAACTTTAGGACCCTCAGGGATGCATGATCCCTGAACCTGAGCTGCCGGCTACTTAAACAGAAGTCAAGGGCGTGCCCATACTCCCTTCACCTGTCCCCAACAGGGCCTGACAACCTGCACAGAAAAAATGGCCACTCACACCACCCCTCACCCTCACAAGGTACCATACAGCACTTAGGGCACACCCACCCTATACAGCAAAAGCTTACTCTGTATTAGCTTTGGAACAGAAAAAAAAATAAGACCTAAGCTTTTCATTACTTCCAGATGTGTTAACCAATGCAACCAAAAACCTTAAAACAGCAACAAGTTTTACTTTAAAAAAAAAAAGTGTTATAGTCAAGGTAATTAAAAGAAGCAGCACAGGCAGGAGAGTAACACTGTAGCCTTAAAACCAATCCTCTGGAATATGTTTGCAAAGTCCTGCCTGAATCAGAATGGAGCACTGAAGGATCGAAGGTCAAATCTCTTTATTTCCTGTAAACTGTAGTTATACAGACAGGCAGTCACCCAGCTTGCTGTATAAGACTGACCAACTACAGCCAAACTAAACTTCTGCCCTTATATGGCAAGGAAAGGGAGAGTGGAAAAAACACTGATGACATTAGGGGCACTCCTGGGACAGCAGATAAACACAGCCTCCTCTATCTGTGCCCAGGCCTACAATGTACGAGGCACATCTGTGTAACGGAGAAGAGCAGACACCCACTACAGCACCTTTGCCATGCCTACATAAGAAAGTAGAAATCCCAAGCATGCATCCTACTTACAGCCACCCTGGGGGTGCCAACAAAGGTGCACAATGCACCCCTTTTCCGGGCCTCCAAAATAAAGAGGAAGAGGGCCATGAATTCTTGAAAACCAGTTTATTTCCCATGATTTAACAAAGTTACCTATTAGGAATCAGTTGCTGGCTGCAAATGTTCAGTGGGTTCTACCCTGAAGAAGAAAAGGGATTGGGTCTATTTGTTAAAAAAAAAAAAAGGTCAAAAACAAACAAAATTCTTGTAGGTTCTAAGACCTCTAGTCAACCATTACATCAAGCAAAGCAGCCTCATTCGGAGAGACTTGCAGGGCCCATGCACCTTGGAAAAACAAATAGGAGGAAAAAAGGGGCGGCTGCTTTTTCCAAGGTAAGTGTTGGCTTAATGGGGCCAACTAACTATAGCCTGTCTGAACTCTGAGGGTCTGAATTGCCTCCAACTCTCTCATCAAACACTTGTCTGCAGTGGTTCATGACTCTGTCACCACACCTTTACCTTTGCTGCCAAGAGAAACTGTTACTGTTATTTAACTCACAGTGCAAAGGAGACCCAAAAACGACCTCAGTGAACTATGCTGAAGTCCCAGTTTCAGAAGAGAGGAGCCTATTAATCGCCAAGTCTCTCTTCGGTGGTCTTATATACTCAAGTTGCTATTTTATAAAGTTCTGGGCCCCACCGCTCAGACTGTTTTTTAAAAAACTACTATTGAAAACACAGAAATGACTTAGACTATGCTTGACAAAGTTTGGAGAAGAATAAAAGCTTTGTCCTTATCCGAGGAACACTGTTTGGAAAGATGAGGCGCAGAAGAAGAGGTGACCATCAAAGTAACGATGCTGCCGTCACGCCCTTTGTCTGTTTTGGTACCAGGGATCGAACTCACAACCTTGCCCTTGCCAGGGAGGTGCTGTGCCACTGCGCTGTATTGCCTGCCTGTCACTTGTCTCTTATGTCTAACATCAATCATTAGGCCAGGAGTAGCCCAAGGCTCTTATGCACAGGGCTA